CCGGAGGCTCACCGGAAGTGCCTGTCCGGAGGATCTGGAGTGGGTGTCGAGCCCGGGCGTCGGTTGCAAAAACGAAAAACCAGACGAAGGATATAAGACGTAAAGATTACACAGCATATATAAGAAAATACCCCTTAATAACTTATTACCTCATATAAAGGCGACTTTAGAGTTATTTAAAATTATGTTTTGATAGTACTCCCCTACAAACGAATTTGGTAGGGCCCATTCTGCTTGCTGACTGCGCTACCCAGAATGCATCTAGAACGATCGGGCCTTTGCTTCAGCCATCGTGGAATCGGGCGGAAGTAAGCTACACCTTCAAACTGGACCAGGAGTCCATTGAAAACCTAACTGCCTTCTCAATTGGTATATAACTTAGTTTAATTTATGGATTGAAGTATATTTTCCTGAGGTTCCCAGCGTGAGGCGGTAGGCTTCTCTTCCCAAAGTAAAGATGTCCGCCAAACGTGGGGGTTTCTGGGTAAATGGGAGTCTGAGTTGAAGCGGGCAATCCTGTTTACGTCCTACCTCAGAAAAGAGGCTTCTTCCCCGGCTGGTGGGCGGGGATGGGGTACTTTTCCAGCCTCGAATGGCGGAGGGCGATTGCCGATCCCCAAAATGGCCCAATCATAAAAGAGGAAAGGCGAGGGAACAAACAACCTATTGGTTGGCTATCTGGGCCAATCGGAAGGGCTGTGATTTGGCGGGAGTCTTGACCGCCTCCGGGGCTCTTGGTGTCTCAGCCCCAGCCAAGGGTGTTGGGCCGCCGCGGCTATGTTCGTGTCCGATTTCCGCAAGGAGTTTTACGAGCTGGTTCAGAGCCAGGTGACTCCCAGTCCAGGACCCTCGCTAAGGCCTTGGGTGGGGAAGAAGCAGTGAGGACGTGAGGCCATGGGTGGGCCAGGCCAAGAGGGCTGGGAGTAGCCGGGGTTCGGGTTACTGTACTCAATCCACCCGCTCTTGTCCAAACAGAGGGTCCTTCTCTTCGTGGCCTCGGACGTGGACGCTCTGTGCGCCTGCAAGATACTTCAGGTGAGCTTTGCGGACCAAAGGAGGGCGAGCGAGGCTAGAGGTGAGGGACTGCTGGGCAGGAGCAGAAGATGAGGAGTAAGGCCGGCCTAGGATGGGAAGGAGCAGGGCGGGAGGTGAGGAGCAGGTGAGAGAAGGGCGAGTAAGAGGTCAACTCCTTGTATGGGCAGTCTTGGAGGTCAGAGAAAGATTACATAAAAATACTAATTAGTATCTTTTTGTAACAACCCAGGCGGAAAAAAAAGAAAGAAAGATTTAATTTGGGAGACATTTGAACCTGTAGTGGCCTGTCAAATGTGGGGTTTGAGAGAGAGATGAATCGGTGACAACAGAGAGTATAATGTTGTCATAATCAGTATTAGAAACACAGGAGTCCATAGTCTATTAGGGAAGATTATTAATTAGATTTTTGATATGGTTCACTTTTTCTGCCTTTATTATTATTTTTTATTCTTTTGGGATATACTTAAGAGTGCATTTTGATGCACTATAGATATATAGAGTATAACTTATTCTAATTAGGTTCTCATTCTTGTGGTTGTACATGATGTGGAGTTACACTGGTCATTTATGAACATGTATGAACATAGGAAAGTTATGTCCAATTAATTCTACTGTCTTTTCTCTTCCCATCTCCTCTCCTTTCCCTTCAGTCCACTTTGTCTAATCCAACGAACTTCTGTTCTTCCCTTCCCCTCCTTATTGTGTATTAGCATCTGCATAGAGAAAACATTTGGCCTTTGGTTTTTGAGGATTGGCTTATTTCACTTAGCATGATAGTCTCCATTCCATCCATTTATCAGCAAATGCCATAATTTCATTCTTCTTTATGGCTGAGTAATATTCCATTGTGTACATGTACTACATTTTCTTTATCCATTCATCTGTTAAAGGGCACCCACTTTGGTTTCATAGCTTAGCTATTGTGAATTGAGCTGCTATAAACTTTGATGTGGTCCTTTCACTATAGTATGCTGATTTTAAGTCCTTTGAGTATAACTGGGTCAAATGGTGGTTTCATTCCAGGTTTTCTGGGGAATCTCCATATGGCTTTCCAGAGTGGTCACAAAATATGGTACACTTTTTACGTTGAGCCTGGATCAGGAATTTTTCAGAATACCTGGAAGTAAGATCAGATTTTCTCACAGTGTTTTTTGTTTTGTTTTTGTTTTTTTGGTAATTTGACAAATTCATCAAAATGACAGGTCTATACATTTAACAGTCACATCCCTACCACCTGGCTTCTTTCCTTAGGGTTTTACCAATATTAGCTTATCCCATATTTTTTGTGTCTCAACCCAGCTAGTTTTTTCTAGGGCATTTCAAGATAAATTCTGTACATCCTAAATAAGATAATCTTTGAAAAAACTCTCTCTCAGGCCCTGTTTCAGTGTGACCACGTGCAGTATACACTGGTTCCAGTCTCTGGGTGGCAAGAACTTGAAACTGCATTTCTTGAACATAAGGAACAGGTATGAAAGATATGTTTTAGAATAAATAAGCTTTTTTTACTCAGTTCCAATTCCTAATACTTAGCTGTCTTTCTAATTTCACAGTACGTTTATATTTAAGTATCAACTTTAATAGGCAATGTGGAAGAGAAAAGCATGCTATGTATACTGGTGACTTACTCTCAAGTTGTAAAGACAGAATTAACCAAAAAAGATAGTGAATATGGACAGCATATAACTTCGAACTTATTTTGCAGAAATCTGACTCTTCTTAGAGTCACCTTTGTTTGGAATTTAGCAGTTTAGCCTCACTAAAATTATTATTATTTTGGTAGTGGCAATTGAACCCAGAGATGGTTTATCCACTGAGCCACATCCCCAGCCTTTTTTACTTAACAGTGTTTAGTTTTTGGTTTTGTTTTTTAACATGGTGCTGAGGATCCAATTCAGAGCCTCACATGTGCTAGGCAAGCACTCTACCACTGAGCCACAACCCCAGTCTTAGCCACAGCCCTTTTTAATTATTGTCTTGAGATTGGGTCTTGTTAAGTTGTTTATGGCCTTGCTAAATTGCTGAGGCTGACCTTGAACTTGTAATCCTCCTGCCTCGGCCTTCCAAGTCACTGGGATTACAGTCATGTGCCACCATGCCTGGCTAAAATTATTTTAGAATACACAACTATCATATATTATCTCTCTAAGAAAATGCATTCTAGTTTCTAATTTTAAATCTAGGATATGTTCTCCCTTAGGATTTTCAGCATAGAAACTAGGCTGACTCTTACCTCTGTATGGGGCAAAGATGGGACATTGTGGGGCCCATAGAGAGGGCATGGAATAGTGTACATGGAGTCCCTGGATAATGCTAAGACTTGTTGTGGCAGGGATAAATAATCTCATAAGAGACTGTACCAGTGGGTATCCGCAAGGAAAGGTTTTGCTATAGTTATACAGCACAACTTAATACTTACATGCCCTGAAAATTATGTGCTACCTGAGATTTGCCAAAAACTTAAACCCATGCAACTCTCTTAACACAGAGAGTTGGTGCAATACCATACAATAAGATCTGGAGAAACCACATTACACATTTTATGTCTTAGATTCCCCTCATTAGCTTCTTTTTTTGCAATATTGGGGATTGAACTTAGGGCCTCCTACATGCTACACAAGCACTCTACCACTGAGCTTCATCCCCAGCCTTTTTTAAATTTTATTTTGAGTTAGGGTCTGGCTAAGTTGTCCAGGCTGGCCTCTAACTCGAGATTCTCCTAACTTAGCCTTCCACATAACTGGGATTACAGGGATGTGCCACCATGCCCAGATTCTTATTAACTTCTTGATCATGTGCCTGAGACTTGGGTTTGCTGAGCCTCAGTGTGTTCCTAAGAAAGTGGGACTTGCCTCAAAGCTTACTTCACAGTATTATTTTAGAAAAGAAGAACCTATTGTATATGTTAAAGCACTTGGCATAAGCCAGCCTTAGCCATTTCTCAAGCCCTTTGCCATTCCCTCTGGACCTTGCCACATATCAGGGATTTAATGTATCTCAGCAAAAGGATCTAGAGTCCTAGTGTGGTAAAGTGAAGTTACTTTTTAATGTCTCACTTATTTTTTCAGTTTCGTTATTTTATTCTCATAAACTGTGGAGCTAATGTAGACCTATTGGACATTCTTCAACCTGATGAAGATACTATATTCTTTGTGTGTGATACCCACAGGCCAGTCAACATTGTGAATGTGTATAATGACACCCAGGTATGCAAGTCTTTGGGCCTCCCTTCTGTTATGCTGTCCCCTCAACCTGTCTATACCTTTTAATGTCATATACAGTGTTTTACCTGGTCTTCTTGGCAAGTGTGTGTCCAACTCCCCTATAGAATTGGGAGTAACCTAAGTATAAAAACCTGGTCATGTCCATCTTTGATGAGAAACATGGCACCTAGTTCTTGGGTATGTGCTAAATGAATTGGTGGAGTTTGTGAAATGTATTTGACCTGGAAAATGTAAGGACCAGAACTTTGTAGACTTAAAAGTACAGTTTCTATTGTGCTTATCCTTTGAATCCTGAGCTTTAAGCATACAACCTGGCTCAGGGCAGCCACCTACATCCTTTGACTTGATCTTTCACCCACAAGGTGTCAGACCCCAAAATTCTCATAGGAGAAATCTCTCCATAATAAATCAATCTGGAATTGCTTTTAGAGACAATAGATGTATTCACTTAGGGCTAGTCCATTTTGTGTTGCTATAAGAAAATACTTGAGGCTGAGTTCCTTTAAAAAGGTTATTTAGCTT